GCGCTACTGATGGCCTCCTCATGTGCTCTTCGTCGGACTTCAGAACAGATTTGATATTTTCGACCAGTTCGTGGATGTCGGGGGCCATAGTGCAGGATGACTGCTCCAGAAAGCGGGCCACCAGCAGCTTGGTGTCCATGTAAGATTTGTAGTCGATTAAAGACCGAGGCCGGCATCTCGAAGCTCGGGCTCGCAGGCTCTGCGCAGGGTCACCGCGGCCAGGTCCAGTCGACCCTCTGTCTGAGTGGCCGCCTCACAGCCTGAGCAACGGGGGCGGCTGTGGACAGAGATGAGCAACATGGACCCATAGGCCAAGCACCTGACCTGAACCAGTGTGACCAGAAGCTCACCGTGGGGGGCAGCCGACAGATGAGAAGAATGTGAGTATGTTGTAGGAGAGAGAGGGGGCGGGGAGGAGGGGGAGGGGAAGGGAGGGATGGAGGGATGGAGGGAGGGGGAGGGAGGGAGGAAGGAAGGAAGGAAGGAAGGAAGGAAGGAAGGAAGGAAGGAAGGAATGCCTAATGTCTGAACCCCATCCAATATGGTGTGGTAATTATGGAAAATGGGTAGAGAGTATCTTATGATGTGTCACACAGCCTTGAAAAGCAGCCACGTGGTCCAGGAATATGTCCACTCATATGTGAGGCTTGGCCTGAGCATGTGGGAAAGCGGCCTGAAGCGTGGTGGCAGTTGGGTAGTGGAAGTTGTGCCTGCTGGGGCTGGGTCCCTTGGGCGGGGAAGGATCTCACCCGCCACCCCTCTGAGGGGGCCTCATTTTATGCTCTCTTCCGGGAGAAGCAGCACATGAGTTTTGATGGTTTTAAAAAGAGAAAAAAATAGAAAAGAAAAACCTATCTGCCTTAATAGATGTGGCAAGTGCCTATGGCATGCATGCAATTTTCCCCGCTTTCCATCGTATGTTCATCATATTTCCCCAAGACTAGTCAACCCTCACAATCCATGGTTCTTGCACTGCAGTGCCCGGGCAGGTCCAGTTGCCTGCCTCCCTCCAACACCTTCCTAGGAGCCCAGTGCTCCCCAGGGCCAGGCCAGGACATCACCTCTCTCCGAGGAATGATGCAGCAGGGGGTCACTCTTCGATCGCATCCTCAGGGGGTGGAATGCTCTCCCGATTCTCCCTGGATGTGGCTGATTGGCACTGGGAGTGGCAAGGACTGAATTTTCTTCTCCTGCAACTTGAGGACTTTCCCCACCTGTGTTTTGAGAAAAGGAGAAATGAAATGATTTCACCACCTTCCAAAGTGAGGCAGGAGACACCTGTGAGCTGCAGCTGGATGGAGCAGGGATGACACCATTCACAGCATTTGCTCAGGATGCCGGCCGGGGCACGGGGTGTGTCTCAGACTGTGGGAAACACTTCTTTCTCCAATCTGCCCCTCCACATCTACAGCAGACACACCTGGATCCCAGACTCATGACCAAATGATAGTTGGGTTTGGTTTTTTGTTTGTTTGTTTTGTTTGTTTTCTGCACCTAAAGGTGCAGACAAACTGCTCCAGGTTCATGCTGCATCCCTGGAGCTCCCTGGTCATCTGGCACTTTCTGACATTTCAGGAGGATATGGGCAAGGTTAAAAAAAAAGGGAGGGGGACTGGAGTGATAGCACAGCGGGTAGGGCATTTGCCTTACACGCGGTCGACCCGGGTTCGATTCCCAGCATCCCATATGGTCCCCTGAGAACCGCCAGGAGTGATTCCTGAGTGCAGAGCCAGGAGTGACCCCTGAGCATCACCAGGTGTGACCCAAAAAGAAAAAAAAAGATTCTACACAGGATGAGTAGCAGCTGCAGATCCAAATTCAGACATACAGGCATCCACATCCATTAAATAAAAGGATGAGGAAAAGCATTCTGGTGTAGTACTGGAATGGGATGGTGGTGCCTACTTGGTGAATAAATTCATATCACTTGTGAGTCTGAGCTCTGGTCTGGGAATTTTAATTTTTGTCTTGGGGCCACACCCGTAGTGCACAGAGCCTACTCTTCACTCTGTGCTCAAGGATCCTGGTGAGTTCAGGAGACTATAAGGGGTACTGGAGGGTGGAATCTGGGTCAGCTGAGTGCAGGGCAAGTGTCCTACCCTCTGTACTATTGTTCCAGTCCCAGGGAATTTTTTTTTTAATAAATGGAAGAACTGGGCTGGAGAGATAGTACAGGGACTTAAGGCATTGGATACAACCAACTCTGATCTGGTTCCTGGAACCCCCAGGAGTGATCATTGAGCACAGAGCCAGGAGTAACCCCTGGTATATACACTGGGTGTGACTAAACCATCCCTACCCCCCAAAAGGAAAAAAAAAAACAAACTGCAAACATAATTCTAATTATACTGGAATTCTACTTAAGATAGAAGGCTAAACCGAACAAAATCCCACTCTGAATCAGGCGCCACTGAAAAATGACCTCCATCTGTAATAGCTAAAAGTTGATGCATTATTTAATCACCATTAGCAGTTCTGTCCTAGTGGACAATTCTCGGGGCCACTTGAAACCTCTCCAAAGAGAGAGAGCTTAAGAATGTTCCCTTAAATGATAAGGATAAATGTAAACTGATTCTCGTATTTATTTATTGGGTACTGGGGGGTGGGGGGTGGACCACACTCTGCTGTACTCAGGCTACTCCTGGTGGTCCTAAGGACTGAGAGTGCAGAATCTTAATCTAGACAACCAGAGAGGTTAAGGTGTTGGGAACTGAAATAAGGTAAACCGCATGCAGGCAAATGCCTTCACCCTGTACCATGTCTCTGACTGCCCATGCCCGAACTCTGGTATTTGATGTAGGACTGAAAAAAAATCAGAATTTGCTACCGGTTGAAGAACATGACCTTTGGGCTGGAGGGATAACACAGCCGGTAGGGCGGTTGCCTTGCACGTGGCCGACCCGGGTTCAATTCCCAGCATCCTATATGGTCCCCCGAGCACTGCCAGGAGTAATTCCTGGGTGTGGAGTCAGAAGTAACCCCTGAGCATCACCTGGTGTGGCCCAAGAAAGAAAAAATAAGAGCACGACCTTAGCTCTAGGTTATAAGTAACAGGACATTCTTTCTTCCAGCAAAACATCCTATAATAAATGAAACGCTCCCCACTTAACCTTTAACCCTTCAAAAGAGCCCATCTCATTAAACATTTTGTTGTTGATGTTGTTTGCTGGCCACACCCTGCAGTGTTCAGGGCTTATTTATGCCTCTATACTCAGGGATCACTCCTGATGGGCTTGGGGGGGGGGGGGGGACATATGGGGTGCTAGGGATGGAACCCAGGTCAGCTGCATGCAAGGCAAGTGCCCGGCCTACTGTACTATCGCTCCAGTCCAAGCCTATCCTATTTTACCAGGAGAAATAAAATAACAAGAATACCAAATCACACTTAGCCATCCGCTATCACAGGTCCCAGGGGAATTCCCTGTGTGTACACGCACAAGTTCCCCCGTGGAAGCCCCACGAGGACGTCAGCACCTAGAAAGACTACGTCGTCTGCACTGTTTGCTCTAAAGAATATCCATGCTCCCATTAAGTATCCGAGTCACGGCTTCTCCCATACTTCTCTGTCCCAAGGAATCCCGAGTCAGGGTTGATCACCTTGAGCGGCGGACGTGCAGGTCATCTCCAACGGGCGTGCGGCGGCTTCTGCTCCTTCTGGCCTTTGGCACGGGGATCCCTGAGCCCAGGAAACAAGAGGGCTATTGGGTGACAATCAATGCAACCCTCATCAGGACTCCAGCACACGTCTTCGAAAGTTCCTGGCACGGTCTCCCCATCCTGCCAGCACAGGATGCCTCTTTCCTCCCTGCCCCCAGAGGAAGAAGGAGGAACCCCAAGGCCATACCTGCTCCTGGTCCACCTGGCTCACCACGGCTTCGTAAGGTGGGGGCGGGTCCAGGGGACAGAACACTTCCACTCCTTTGATGCGTGCACCATAGATGTGTGGCAGCGGAATGATATCGGGACCAACCATCCTAGAAAAAGCATGTTGGCCTGAGGAAGTCCATTCTACAGACTGGACATCTACCTGGGGGCTCCTCCATTGCCTTCAAGGGTCAGTGAGCTATGAGTTTTGAGAAAAACTAGAGACCCCTGCTGGCTACGGTTTCTAACTGGGAGAGTGAGAATAACCCAACTGGAGCGCCAAGGAGAGGGAGGTCTCTTAGACAAGTGACAACATATTAAATGCAAATCAGCTTTCCTTTTCAATGCAAGAGTCAAAACACAAAGATATAGAGGTTGCCAAGGGTCAGAGAAAGGAGTGGTGTGTGTGTGTGTGTGTGTGTGTGTGTGTGTGTGTGTGTGGTGAGGGGGTGGGAGGTTCTGCCTCTTGCTTGCTGGGACTGGGCTCCTTTAGGGGGTGATGAAATTTCTTTAGAACTAGATGCAGAAGAGGGTAATGGCACAATAGTGCTCCCAGGTGACTGCAGGGTAAACTGAAAGGGTTAATTCCATCTCATGTGCCTTTCACCTCAACTAAAGAAAAAATAAGGAGGGACACAGGTAGACTGGATTATTTCTTCTATTATCACATGATGAAAGTTTCTTTCCTGAGTTTCCTGAATGTCTGATTCAGAGACCGAAGAGATAGTCTCTCTTCGGAGAGGAGAGGCACTTGCCTTGCCCATAGCTGTGGTGACTACCATCCTGATTTAGACCCTGACTCCAATCCCCGGTACCATTGACTTACCTCCCATGGGTCACTCCTGAGCACAGAGCCGGGAATAAGCCCATAAGCACCACCAAGTAAGGCCCAAACTTACCCCACCCCACCCAACCCACTCAAAGAAAAATAATCTCCTAATTTTTTTTAGTTTCTTTTTTGGGGGGTCCCACCTGGCTATGCTCAGGAGTTACTCCTGGCTCATGAACTCAGGAATTATTTCTGGCAGTGCTCAGAGGGCCATATGGGATGCTGGGAATCGAACCCGGGTCGGCCGCGTGCAAGACAAACGCCCTGCCCAGTGTGCTGTCACTCCAGCCCCCATTGGGGGGAAAATGTTTTAAGCAGAAAGTTCTAGAAGTTTTCAGAGAAAACACAACACACACACACATACACACACACACATACACACACATTCTCTAGACAAAGAACTAAACTTTAAAATAGTTGTTAACAACACAAGAAAGTCCTAAAAAAGAAAAACCTATCTTCAAGCCATGGATGACAGGATAATGGAGGAAAAAAACAAAAGCAATATTGGCCAAAGTTCAGCAATGATGCTGAAATGCCAAAATGGACAAAAAGCAAAGGAGACTGATAAGGAGACAGACTCTGGGCGGTGTGTGCAGGGCCAGCTCTCCTGCCGCGGGTGTTTGTTCTGGTGGACACAATGTCAACCCCAGCGCCGTCAGCCTGTGCCCTCCCACAGAGTCCCCCCTCTCAGGGTTTGTTCTCTGACTGGGCAGTTGTTTCCATTTTACTCTTTGTACACATGTACAGAAATACTGTCCGCAGAGGAGCAACGAGAAAGATGCAGTGTCCTTTCTTCCTAATAATGAATGTTCCGCAGAGCTGGGACTTAGAGAAATGAGCCGTCTGAGTGAGACAATAGAAAACTCGACCCTCTTTTCCCTGAGACCTTGGTTCCAAGGGAAAGCAAGACCCTCGACCCTCTGGCCCTGGAAGGAAAAGGGGACTCAGAACAGCCCAATATGAACGCATCTGAAGAGTGTGTCAGCATGAAGGACTCGTGCGTGTGTGTGTGTGTGTACATGTATATGCATGTGTGTATGTGTGTGCCTGTGTGTACATACATTTGTACATGTGTGTGTATGATGTAACCAAGAAAGAGATGATCTTAGGTCAGGGGAAGAGCTCCAAGGGTTGGAGCCTATGCTTTGCATGCAGAGGTCCTCAGTTCAATCCCCAGCACTCCATGATGCCCCGAGCATCACCAGGCATAGCCTGGGAGACCCTTAAGCACCGCTAGCTGTGGCCCTGGTGGTTCCCAGCATGGCTGAAACCCTGCTCAGAACCTTCTGAGCGAGTGTTGAAGGAGCCTCCCCACACCTAAACACTATATGGGATGCCCACACCCCACCCCCACCATAACCAATGCCAGCCACGCGTCTCAGTGGCAGGTGTCCGACACACACACTGAGGCTGTGTATCCAAGCCCCCCACCTCCACCATCTCCAGCCCGAGCACTGTAGGCAATGATCAGAGGCTGGGCTTACGCTGTGACAGTCTCAAGAAGGAAGAGGGTTTTGCCAAACTTTCTGATGAGTTTTAAATTTGCTGTATGTGTCAGCTGACAATATGATAGCATTGTAGGGGTGCAGCTTAACATTTCTGGATGTGTACAGGACTCATCACCCCTACCACCAAAAGATGCCCCATCCCCTTCCCTCCTAAACACACACACACACACACACACACACACACTGACACACATACCCCCTTTCCTTTTGGAATGACCATAGCTTTCACTGAGCCCGGGAGTTCACTTTGCTCTCTTTTTTTGGCCAGTTCATTTGAAGTCGCATGCTGATGGCAGACGTTGTGAGCGTCTCATCTTATTAAGCACCTTCTCGTTCCTTCTCTTCTATTAGGAGGTAAGAATCTGGGCAAGGAAATGAACCTAGTACCTCTTGTTAGGATTTTTTTTTCCGGATCCCTTCTGGCCTCAAACCTCAAGATAATACAAAACTACCCAGGAGATTTTCACCCCCAGCTGGCCCAGACCCTGCCTGGAGCAAACCCTATGCTGACTGACTGTGCTAAGCCCGAGTGGGTACTGTCTTGCCAGAGCTCCCAGGAGACTGCAAGGCACTCCCAGGGCTGAGCAAGACTGCAAAAAGAAATGGACCCTGGCAGGGAACCAACACCCTGAGACATCTGGGAGAGAGAATCATATATATATATATTTTTTTTTTTTTGCTTTTTGGGGTCACACCCGGCGATGCACAGGGGTTACTCCTAGCTCTGTGCTCAGGAATTATCCCTGGCGGTGCTCAGGGGATCATATGGGATGCTGGAAATCGAACCCGGGTCAACCGCATGCAAGGCAAACGCCCTATCCGCTGTGCTATTGATCCAGCCCGGGAATCATATTTTTATTAAAAATTAATGTCTTGGACTGGAGATGGAGCTTGCAGGTAGAGCCCTTAACTCATATCTATGAGACCCTGGATTTAATCCCTGGTGTCCCGTAATAACTAATTAATGAAAGAATGTCTGAGGCTGGAGTGATAGCACAGAGGATAAGGTACTTGCCTTGCATACAGCTGACCTGGGTTCGATCCCCAGCATTCCATAAGGTCTCCAGAGCCCACCAGGAGTGATCCCTGAGAGCAGTGCCAGAAGTAAGCCCTGAGTAACAGCCAGATGTGTCTCAAGTTTTTTTTTTCTTAATAAAGATTGGAGGAATTTTTTAATGTAATTGACATTTTTTTTCACTATATCACTGTATCACTGTCATCCCATTGTTCATCGATTTACTCAAGCAGGCACCAGTAATGTCTCTATTCCTCACAGCCCTGAGATTTTAGCAGCCTCTCCTTATTCGTCTATCCCAATGATGAGAGTCTCTTTCAGAGTCAAGGGAATGAGACCTGTTATCCTTACTGTTTTTGGCATATCGATAACACCATGGGGAGTTTGCCAGGCTCTGCCAGTAACCTGGATAATCTGCTACCGGGATACTCTCGGTAGCTTGCCAGACTCTCCAAGAAGGACCTTTCATGGGGGGGGGGGGGGTTGGGAGCCACTTAATGCTACCTTACCCCACCTTCCAGAAATCTACCTTCCTTGGAGGTAGGGACTCCCAAGTAGTGATCCAGAGACCTGAGGGCCCCACTGGCTACTCTTTATTTATTATTATTTTGGCTTTTGGCTTTTTGGGTCAGACCCAGTGATGCACAGGGGTTACTCCTGGCTCTGCGCTCAGGAATTACTCCTACCATTGCTTAGGGGAACCATATGGGATGCTGGGGATCGAACCCGGGGTGGCTGTTGTACAAGGCAAATGCCCTACCTGCTGTACTATTGCTCCAGCCCCCACCGGCAACTCTTGACCAACTGGGCTGATGGTTCAGTGCGAAGGATGTGGTGCTGCTGGGGCCCTGTGGAGCTGGGGGTTCCCGAACCCTCCCTCTTCCACCCCCAGCCACGGCAGTGCTGGAGATCTCCAGGGCAGCACCAGGCAATGCCTGTGGTGGAACTGTGCGGTGCTGGAAATTCAGCACGATGCTATCTCCAGGCCTCTAAATCTTCCTTCTTTAAGAAAACAAGCAGAGGTGGGAATGCCAACTGGTTCAGCCCTTCTGGAAAACAGTATGGACGATTCTCAAAAAATTAGAAATTGAGCTCCCATTTGACCCAGCAATACCACTCCTGGGAATATCTCCCAGAGGCAAAAATGTATAGTCGAAGTGACATCTGCACTTGTTTGTTCATTGCAACACTCTTTACAATAGCCAGAATCTGGAAAAAACCTGAGTGCCCGAGAACAGTTGACTGGTTAAAGAAACTTTGGTACATTTACACAATGGAGTACTATGCAGCTGTTAGAAAAGATGAAGTCATGGAATTTACATACAAGTGGTACTACATGGAAAGTATCATGTTAAGCGAAATGAGTCAGAAAGAGAGGGATAGACACAGAAAGATTGCATTCATCTGGGGAACATAAAGTAACAAAATAGGAGACTAACACCCAAGAGTGGTCGAGATTAGTACCAGGAATTTTGGTCCATGGCTTGGAGGCCAGCCATACGTGCTAGGGGAAAAGGGAGCTCAGATAGAGAAGGGAGCACCAAATAAAGGGTGTTGGGAGGATCCTCCCAGGATGGGAGAAGCATGCTGAAAGTAGACTATAGACCAAACATGATTGCCACTCAATGCCTCTTTTCCAAACCACAGCACCCAAAAGGAGAGTGAGAACAAAAGGGAATGCCCTGCCACAGAGGCGGGGGGGGGGGGGGGGGGGGGGAATGGGGGGATGGGGGATGGGAGGGATACTGGGATTCGTGGTGGTGGGAAATGGGCACTGGTGGAGGGATGGATACTCAATCATTGTATAATTGAAATCCAAGCACAAGAATTTGTAAGTCTACAATTGTACCTCATGATGTCTCACTAATAAAAATAAAATAAATAAATAAATAAATACAAGAAGCAGAAAGTCCCTCCTGCCACCCCAGCATCAGGGCTCTGAAGTTCCCCTGGATTATTCCTGCAGGAAACTCTGATCCTCAGAAAGCGGCCCCCTGGTAAAGTGGAGTTACAATTAAGGGCTAACGAGTTCTTCAGGGTCAGGCACAGTCCAGGACAGTGAGAAGCAGGCAACATGCAACGGTAGCGCAGGATCTAAGTTGGGACTTGAAAGAAGCTTTTGTTAAAACCCTTCTCAGAAATGCTCTTAGCAGCCATGGGGGCCGTGTCGGTGAGGGAAGACACAGACTCAGAAGCGGTACAAGGGCCAGAGGGGAAAATGCACAGGCGGGCAGGCAGTGCCAACGTGCCCCCTCTGGGAGAGCTCTGAATGATAAAATCTTCACCAAGAAGCCTGTCTGTCTTTTGACCTTGATGAGGCCGGGACTGTACCAGGAACACGAGCTCAGAGGGCAGTGTCCCCACTGGTTAATCACTCTTACGTGAGGGGCAGGGAGCAGGCCAGGCGGGATCCCACCCCAAATGGCACTGCAGGAAGAGAAATCTGTCTGTCTGCTGCTCATCCGTCGACCAAGTGCTTACCCACACCTGAGCCAGGAATTCGTTTTATGACCTATCAATTTATTTATTTTGGTTTTGGAATTACACCCGGCAGTGCTCAGGGGTTCCCTGCATTCGTGAGTTACTCCTGGCAGTGCTTGGCGGGCCCTATGGGATGCCGGGGATCGAACCTGACCATGAGCGAGGCAAATTGCCTCCCTGCTGTACTATCGCTCCAGCCCCAGGCATTCTTCTGAAAGAGCAAATTTGTGTTGCCAGCCACAAGAGTAGACACTTTTACCTCTGCTGCAGACAGAGCTGGAGCGATAGCAGAGCGGGTAGGGCGTTTGCCTTGCACGTGGCTGACATGGCCGACCCGAGTTCGATTCCTCCGCCCCTCTCGGAGAGCCCGGCAAGCTACCGAGAGTATCTCGCCCGCACGGCAGAGCCTGGCAAGCTCCCCGTGACATATTTGATATGCCAAACACAGTAACAACAAGTCTCACAATGTTACTGGGCCTGCTGGGGCAAATCGATAAACAACAGGACAGTGACAGTGACAGTGACCCCATGTTCACTGCAGCACCGACTACAATAGCCACAGTATGGAATCAACCCAAACGCCCAATGACGGATGGGTAGACAATGAAAATGTGGTGCGTATATGTGTATATATATATACACATATGTATAAAAGGCCCTCCCGTTGATCGTCGATTTGCTCGAGCGGGCCCAGTAACGTCTCCATTGGAGACTTTGTTGTTACTGTGTCTGGCATCTCGAATACGTCACGGGGAGCTTGCCAGGCTCTGCCATGCGGGCGAGATACTCTCGGTAGCTTGCCGGGCTCTCCGAGAGGGGCGGAGGAATCGAACTTGGGTCGGCCATGTTGGCTGCGTGCAAGGCAAATGCCCTACTGCTGTGCTATCGCTCCAGCCTATATACATAATGGACCTCTGACCTTCCCTGGTCCCCCCTGTTTCCCTTTGTACTAGCATCTTGAAGCCTCAGGGTCCAGCATGGATTCCCTTGTCTTTTAGTATACATACATTTGGTATATATACATAATACGGTTGCAAGGAAGAACGGAATCATGTAATTTGCTGCAACTTGGATACAATCGGAGGAGCTCACACTTAGTGAAGGACAAATATCAGATGGTCTCACCTATCTGGGTTCAATTCCTCTGCCCCTCTTGGAGAGCCCGGCAAACTATTGAGAGTATCACGGCTGCACGGCAGAGCCTGGCAAGCTCCCCGTGACGTATTCAATATGCCAAACACAGTAACGACAAGTCTCACAATGGAGACGTTACTGGGACAGCACGAGCAAATCGATGAACAACGGGAGGACAGTGCTTCTCAGTGCAGTGCTCCTCACCTATCTGTGGTCTACAGAATAATATGACACGGGAATGGAAGGTGTCAGAGGTGGGCACAACTTTAGCGCTAGGTTACAGAAATAAAAAGGCAGGGAAGGTGATAGAGGGGCTAAAGTCAGGGACCTTGGCTGCATTGGTGGTGCAGAGGCAAGCTATCTATATACATTTAAACTGCTAGAGTCAACATTCCTGTAAGCATGAGACCCGAACTGCAGTAATCAAACCTGAAAATGTGCAGACTCGGGTGACACTGGTGGAGGTATGCAGACACTAGTGGTGGGGTTGAAGTTGTGAGACTATACACCTAAAATTTTATTGTTAACTTTTTTAATCACAATGTCTAAATAACTTAGTTAACTTAATTTTTAAAGCTATTTTTTCAAAACTGAACGCCTGGTCCCAAGTATTTGTTTGACGATACTCCACACATATTGCAGGAATTTAGAAAGGAAAACTTTCTGTCCCTCTACATGTCAAACTGAAGACCTTACTTTTTTTCTTAATAGAATTCAGGGATTTCTGGTTTTTGTTTGTTCTAATTGTTTGTTTGGGGACCACACCAGATGATGCTCCGGGCTTACTCCTGGCTCTGTGCTCAGGGATCTGTCCTGGAGATGCTTGGGGAACCAGATGGGATGAAAGGGATTGAACTTGGATCAACCTACACACTACTATCTCTCTGACCCAAGGAATTTCCTCTTGGAAGCTCAAGTTCCCTTCGTCCAGGAAGCCAACCCTGACTGACTGTTCCTTCGAAGTTTGCAGCCCTCTCGTCATTTGAGGTGAGGTAGCTCTGTCTTTGTATCTCTTCTGAGTTTGACTGGGATCCATCCCACACGCTTTAGTCTGAACAATTCTAGAACCTGCTCCCAACTCCTTGATCATACGTGGCATTTTCCCTTTCAGAAACAATAATTCCTGAGACCAAAGAAATGTATGATCATGTTTTGAGCTAACCTTCAAAACAAAAAGGGAAAGCAAAATAGACCTATGTGTAGTTTTTTTCTCAACCAGAGAGATGTCATTAATAGTTAATTGGCTTTTTAATGGCTGGGAAGAATTTCATGATTCGGGGGCCCACTGAGGAGGGTTATAATGAGCATTGATCCGGCCTGGGAGCGTTTCCAAGGCAACAGCGGTTCTCAATCATGTCGAATTACAGCAGTTATCTCTCTGGGTGTCAGCTGTCCCCAGGAGGATCAGTGAAAGGGGAAAAGTATATCCTTGGGTCAAGGTCTGACTTTTCTTTGGTTTCGTGCAGTGTATCAGCTCCCTCCCTTCATCTCATCTCTTAACAAGGGATGCAGAGATGGAACAGTGAGTAGGGTGCTTGCCTTGCATGTGGCTAGTCTGGGTGTATTTCCTGGCACTGCAGAAGATTTCCACTCAGGACCCCCTACGAGTGACCCCTGAGCACAGACCAGGAGCAAGCCCTGGGCACAGCTGAGCCTGGCCTCAAAACAAAACAAAACAAAAGGAGCGACAGAGAAGAGAAAACCAAATCATAACACAAGCTGCCTGCATTGTAGAGAAGAATCAGAGCAAGGGTCATGGCCCTATATTAAAGGCTCTTCCACCTTCAGAGCTGAGAGCACCGCGCAAAGGTAGGGGTGAGGAGAGAGAGAATACCTGCGGTTCATCCGGGGGGTGCAGGAGTAGAAGGTGGCAAAGTAGGAAGGGGGAGGTGCTGGAGGCACGAAGTCGTCGGGGTCCGGGAGACGCCCGTGTTCTTCCAATTCTTCGGCAGAAATCTGGGACTCATCCTAAGCAGACGGCACCTCAGTTAGTCCCCAGAGCACCCGCCCCCCACCACAGGTTTGAGGTGGGGGGAAAAAGTCAATGGGTTTGAGGAAAAGGGCAGGGGAGCAGGCTCAGCAGACACCGGGGGGCGAGGGGGTGCAGCGTGTGGACTTACGATGCAGGATCTCCTGGCTGCAAATATCTGGAGGTAGCGGAGGGCAGCGGCCACCAGGCAGACGGTGGTGGTCAGGGCATTCAAGGCACACAGGGCAAAAAGGACTTTCTGGAACAAGAAAACAACGGTGCCATTAAGAATTTCAAATCAGTTGGAACAGTGCAACCTAAAAACCTCTTCCAATGCCGATACTAACCTACAGGACAATTCTCATGAGAAAATGCAACACGCTGACTCTAGCACTGAGATGGGGATTCAGCTCCACCACCTAGTGTGAGCCACTGGTGGTGCACACCAGCACCATCGTGTTAAAGGATACAGATGAGGTCTAGCTCGTGCTAAGTCCACAGAGGTGCTGGAGCAATAGCACAGTGGGCAGGGCGTTTGCCTTGCATGCGGTCGACCCGGGTTTAATTCCTCTGTCCCTCTCCGAGAGCCCGGCAAGCTATCGAGAGTATCCCGCCCACACGGCAGAGCCTGGAAAGGTCCCCATGCCTGATTCGATATGCCAAACACAGTAACAACAAGTCTCACAATGGAGATGTTACTGGTGCCCGCTCAAGCAAATCGATGAACAACGGGAGGACAGTGCTACAGTGCTACTTTCGGGCAACCATATGCCTTTCTTCATGGAAAGTTTTGTCTTAGAAGTTTCCTGTCCCAGAATTTCAATCTCTGTGTGAGCAACACAGTGCTGTGTGGAAAACTGTGAGCTTTTCTTGGAAATTTATGTCTTCAGAGACAGCAATTCTCAATCTCCACCCTCCCAACACCCACACAGGACAAGAGCCATTAATCTGTGGCCACTGATTCTATTTCAAGAGCAATTGGCAGAGTGGCCACAAGTACCCCAAGTAAGGCAAGGCTAGGGGAGGGCGACCAGGGAGTCAACAGGGTCTCTCTCCCCTAAACACAAATCTCAGCCTAACAGTACAGGCAATTCCAAAACTTCCTGTGGCCTCAGTCCTGGCTCCTCACTGGGGCTTTCCCCAAGCTCAATCCTGGACGGAATGTTTGGGGTGACTCAGCTCTCAAAACTCCAGTGGCCAAAGCAAGACTTCCTTTTCACATCCTGCACAAACCAGAGATCTGGCAGCCGCTCTGCATTTCCTTAGACATTCCTCAGCCCCACAAGAAAGGAAAAAGAAAAAGAAAAAGAAAAACCCAAAGTATAAAGACACAAAGTGAATCATCGGCTTCCACTATGCCAAAGCTAATTCTTCAGGGTTCGATAATGGCTTTTGCCACCCACTGGGCTCAAAGGCCATAGGATTGGACACCGTTGTCATCCAGGTTCCTTATTTTATTTACCGTCAGGTTGTGGAGAGAGGCCATTCCCTGAACATTGCTCAAGGATCACTCAGGGGATTTTGTGATACAGGGGATTAAACCCAGACACCCCGCATGGAAAGCATGAGAACTTAGAGCATCTCTCTGACCCTGAGATCACTTGCTTTTAATCTCTTACACTTGCTATAATTGCTTTCTCTGAGATGAGAAGTAATGTGATTATTTTGCTTGTGTTTTTGAGTTTATAGCTGTCCAACTCTTTAGTTCAGAACAGCAGCCTCCAGGACTCACTTAGGCCAAAGAAGGACAAATGGGCAGGAACGGATAAGTGGTTTTGCTAAAAAGTAACATAATATGTGTGTATGTGCATGCAAATATCTATGTCTAATGTCATCCATATTTACACATTCATTAGACATGCATTTCAAATATATCTAGTGATGTGTATGTTTTGGCCCCTTTAGAAGTTTTCTGTCAAGTGATATTGGAATGATGCATGCACGAAACTATCATTAACAGTATTGTAAATCACAGGAACTCAATAAAGAGTAAAAAATATTGTTTGTTTTTTGTTTTTGTTTTTGGATTTTTTTTTTTTTACAATTCAGAGCCAGAGAGATAGTATAGCAGGTTAGATATCTGTCTTGCATCTGGCTGACCCTGATTTAATCCACAACCAGCAGTGATCCCTGAGCAAAGTGTGTGTGGTCCAACCCCACCCCCCACACACACACACACCCTATCAATTTTTACTCTTCTACTTCTTAACACAAGGAAGGTACTTATTCATAACAAGAGGTACAATCATTTTTCCCTACACCCAGTTATGTCTGAGGTTATTGAAAAGGGGCCCCCAAAGGTGGAGAGAGAGTAAGATGGAAGGTGCCTGCCGCTGAGGCAGGGGTGAGGAGTGGGATGGGGAGGGGGTGGCCAGAGGGATACTGGGAACATTAGTGGTGGAGAATGTGCACTGGTGGAGGGATGGGGTCTCCATCACTGTATGACTGAAACTTAATCATGAAAGTTTGTAACTGTGTCTCATGGTGATTCGGTAATTTTTTTTTAAAGGGGGCCCCTCATGATGACCTTTTATTTTGTGATGTTATTGGTTGCAGGAGGTGGGATTGACTACGGGGGCCACTCCCGCCTCTCTGAGAGCTCTATGCTGCGTTTCTTGGGGAAAGGGGTCCCGCCCGTCGCACCTTAAGCAGGAGGTGGACAGCGCTACAAGGCTGAACTGGAAAGAGCTTCAAGGCATTTTCTTTGTCTGTGCATTTGGTTGGTTGAAATTCTTCACAACAGAAGCAAATCTTGCCTTCACCTAAGTCCACCTGTAGGGAGAAAAGTAAAAAAAGAGAAAAATCATTACTGAATTATTAGGGAAAAAAAAAAAAGAAGAAATCCTGGAGCACTGATTCTACAAAGTGAGATATGGCAGGAGGTGTTTCCTGTCTGTCTGTCTGTCCGTGGAAGTGTGGCCCTATGTCTGCCAGGCATACCCTCCCTGCTGCAACCCCTGTGCTACCTCCCCAGCTCCGAGATTCTCTTTTGCTTTTAATGTCATATCCTGCATTACAAATAATGTCATATCCCGAATGTAGCCTGCCCACACAGCAGAGTTTGGCAAACTCCCCGTGGCGTACCCAATATGCCAAATACCAGTAACAACGATGGGTCTCATTCTCCTAAAGAGCCTTGAATATAATCTCAGGGCTAGGATGAAGGAGACGTTACTGGGGCCTGCTCGAGGCAATCGACGAATAACAGGATGATTTGTGATTTGTGATCCTGCAGGTCAGAAAAGGGGGTGGGAGCTATCGTATAGTGAGTAGGGCTCTCTCTTGCTTTGCATGTGACTGACCCGGATTTGATCCTCCACATCCCAGATGGTCCTCTGAGCTTGCTAGGAGTGATCTCTGAGCCAGGGGTAAGCCCTGAGCATCACTGGATGTGGCTCAAAAATGAAACAAAAAACAATCTGTCTCGAAATGATGTGCTCCGTCACAGGGATAGAGAGTAACGCGAACTAACTACTGTGGATAGTGCCCCAAGGGACTGAGGGCTGCAAATATCTTTGCTCTGTTTTGTTTTGGGGCCCTTGAGGTATATCCAAGAAGTGAAGTTGCTGGGTCAAATGGAAGCTGAGTGGAGTTAGACATGTGGGATACAACGAAACATAATGGTAGAATAACAAATACCCAGAGAACATGAGAACTGGTTATTCAGTTGGAAACACGCCACTTGGGGGTGGGGGGGTGGGATAGGGCAGGGAGGAGGGCAACATCGTGGTGGAGGGAAGCATTCAACTGGGGGGAGGAGGAGGTGGTGCTGGAAGATGGTCAAGTGTTATTAGGAAACCCTATCAACAATGGTTATGTAGGGACTGGAGCGATAGCACAGCAGGTTGGGCGTTTGCCTTGCATGCGGCCAAGCTGGGTTCGATTCCCAGCATCCCGTATGGTCCCCTGAGCACCGCCAGGAGTAATTCCTGAGTGCAGAGCCAGGAGGAACCCCTGTGCAACACCAGGTGTGACTCAAAAAGCAAAAATAAATAAATAAATAAATAACTGGAGCAACAGCACAGTGGTAGGGCGTTTGCCTTGCACGCGGTTGACCCGGGTTCGAGTCCCAGCATCCCATCTAGTCCCCTGAGCACCGCAGGAGTAATTCCTGAGTGCAGAGCCAGGAGGAACCCCTGTGCAACACCAGGTGTGACTCAAAAAGCAAAAATAAATGAATAAATAAATAACTGGAGCAACAGCACAGTGGTAGGGCGTTTGCCTTGCACGCGGTTGACCCGGGTTCGAGTCCCAGCATCCCATCTAGTCCCCTGAGCACCGCAGGAGTAATTCCTGAGTGCAGAGCCAGGAGGAACCCCTGTGCAACACCAGGTGTGACTCAAAAAGCAAAAATAAATGAATAAATAAATAACTGGAGCAACAGCACAGTGGTAGGGCGTTTGCCTTGCACGCGGTTGACCCGGGTTCGAGTCCCAGCATCCCATCTAGTCCCCTGAGCACCGCAGGAGTAATTCCTGAGTGCAGAGCCAGGAGGAACCCCTGTGCAACACCAGGTGTGACTCAAATAGCAAAAATAAATAAATAAATAAAAACTGGAGCAACAGCACAGTGGTAGAGCGTTTGCCTTGCACGCGGCCGACCCAGGTTCGAGTCCCAGCATCCCATCTAGTCCCCTGAGCACCATAGGAGTAATTCCTGAGTGCAGAGCCAGGAATAACCCCTAAATATAGCCGAGTGTGACCCAAAAGGCAAAAAAAAAAAAAGAAAGAAAAAAAAAAGAAAACAATGGTCCTGTAAATCACAGTGCAGAAACATATATAAAAAGAGAAAGTGCCTCTCATAGAAACAGACTAGTGGTGGGAGGCTAGTGGGAGCCAGGCAGAGCATTGGTGGACGGAAGTGGACACTGGTGAAGGGACCGCTGAAACACTGTCGGTCTGAAACCCAATCATGAATGACGTTGTCATTTCGGAGTGTCTGAAGCAAAATGAAGTCAAAACCAAAATAAAACCAAACCCAAGTGAACAAACTGCACCCAGGCATCCCAAGCCAGGCTGTGTGAGAAAAGGGAGAAGGTCAGGTCTCTCTGAACACAGATGAACAGCGCCGCCTTTTTCAGGATAACTGCGCCACAAATATTGCCTGGGGCATGTTTATGGAAATAAAAAAAACTATGAGCTGTTTACTGGCATTTCAATTTAACAGGTGGCCAATAATAGTTTTATTTGCGAAATCTGGTAACCCTAGCTCCTCTCTTCCTCTTGGAAAGGGCTCTCGCATGAAATCACGTGCCCCAGCTAACCCCAAGAGCACGGGGGAGTGTAAACTCCTCTGTGTGTGTCAGCAGACTGGGGTGCACTGGGTGAGTAACAGCCCCCCAACCCCCGGGGGCTTCACGAGATCTTAGTTCACATCTTCACTGTGCTCCTGGAGTCCAGGGGACGCTCTGTTTGAGGTGGTCACGTCACTGCTGAATAATCTCAGAGATTTTTTTTTTTGGCTTTTTGGGTCACACCCAGCAATGCTCAGGGGTTACTCCTGGCTCTGCACTCAGGAATTATTCCTGGCGGTGCTCAGGGACCATATGAGATGCTGGGAATCGAACTTGAGTTGGCTGCGTGCAAGGTAAACGCCCTACCCGCTGTGCTATTGCTCCAGCCCCCAATCTCAGAGATTTTTAATGAGCTGCTTTCCAAAATTCTTGGTCAGTTTTCCTTGAGTCCGGCATAAAATAATGGAACACCCATGGTTGGAAGCTTGGCACAGGGGGGAAACAGGTTTGTTGTTACTTGTGCCATCGCCTGCACTGTTGATGATGGTTCTCTACTTAAGACATTAACCCAGCAGTCTTTTATTTTGGGGTAGAGAGGTACAACTGGTAGGGTTCTGGGGCTTCTCCGGGTCCTTGGGGGATCGATTCTGTCTCCACCCTCCCAAAAAGCATGGAAATAAGTTTCACCGGGTTCAGAACCCAGAATTCTAAGAAAGTTTTTTTTATTATTCCCCGTCCTTAAGTCACACTGAAAGTATTATGTCAACCACTGATGTCTAGGTTTTGATATTAAATTTATTTTCTGATACAAAAAGTTACAAACTGGAGATGTCTTGATGGATTCCATAGTCCATCAGTTCATTCTCATTTGGATTCTGTCCTTTCCATGGAGATTAACACTTCCCAATTTACACAATACACACACACACTCACACACACACACACACACGCACACACACATGCACAGGCACACGTCTGTTTTATTTTCAGTTTTTTCCCATCGTCTCTTGTTTTTTAAAAATTTGTAAGTTTTGGAACATCCCCTGCAGTGCTCAGGGCTTACTCTTGGCTCTGTGCTCAGGGATCACTCCTGGCAGACTTGAGGGAGAATATGTGAGGATCATGGAACTGGGTCAGTGCTTGTAAGGGGAACTCCTTAACTCCTGCCCTATCTCTTTGGCTCTGTCTCCTATTTCTTTTTTTTTTTTTATTAGTGAGACACCATGAGGTACAGTTGTAGACTTACAAATTTTTGTGCTTGGATTTCAATTATACAATGATCAAATACCCGTCCCTCCTCCAGTGCCCATTTTCCACCACCACAGATCCCAGTATCCCTCCCACCCCCTATCCCCCCCCATCCCACCCTGCCTTGTGGCAGGGCATTCCCTTTTGTTCTCTCTCTCCTTTTGGGTGTTGTGGTTTGCAAAAGAGGCATTGAGTGGCAATCATGTTCGGTCTATAGTCTACTTTCAACATGCATCTCCCCTCCTGGGAGGATCCTCCAAACACCCTTTATTTGGTGCTCCCTTCTCTACCTGACCTCCCCTACCATATGTGGCTGGCCTCCAAGCCATGAACCAAAATTCCTGGTACTAATCTCAGCCATTCTTGGGTGTTAGTCTCCTATTTTGTGACTTTATGTTTCCCAGATGAATGCAATCTTTCTATGTCTATCCCTCTCTTTCTGAGTCATTTCGCTTAACATGATACTTTCCATGTAGTACCACTTGTACTTTCGTAACTCCTGCTCCTCTTATCTCCACCTTCAGGGGAATCCCCTCTGGCCATTCAGGCAGATGGGAACTCTCCCTCTCCTCAAAAGCTTTGTCTTGGCCCCCTTATGAGAATCAATAACTGTCTTTACCGTCATCAGCCCCCTGCAGTCTCCAGCACAGAACTCCCCACCTGGATACCAACAACCCTGTTCTGTAGCACCACACAAGCGGCTCACAGACCATCAGCCTCTGCGCTGCTCGTTGACCCACGCTCTTCCTCCCCAGAGAGGAAGTAAGCCCACTTTTTTCAACCAAGGCACAGTGCAGTGTATTCCTCTCGGGCTGGGTAAGCCTCAAGACCTCACCTGCAGATTCTACCCACCCGGGGTAAAATGCAGTGTCCTCCACTGAGTACTCCCTTCCAACCTGAATCCCTTCTTGTTACAGAGCATCCAGAGAAAGAGAACCCAGGCCTATGTGGGCACCCCCTTCCTTCACACAGTCACAGAGACAGACACTTCATTCTCCGGAGTCTCGGGGATGAGGCTGTCTGGATGGCGGTATTTTCCAGATGGGTGAAGGTTGCTCCCTTTAAAGCATCACTGTCCTGTCACTGTCCTCCTGTAGTTCATCGATTTGCTCGAGCGGGCCCAGTAACGTCTCCATTGGAGACTTTGTTGTTACTGTGTTTGGCATATTGAATACGTCACGGGGAGCTTGCCAGGCTCTGCCGTGCGGGCAAGATACTCTCGGTAGCTTGCCGGGCTCTCGGAGAGGGGCGGAGGAATCGAACTCGGGTCATGTGGCCTTGAAAGTTTAAT